AAAACACGCAGGTGGCATCTTTCTTGTCCCGTATTGGTGGGTTTGTGATTGTGTCGGATGAGGAAGAGCGTGAAAGTGAGTTTCAGAGGAAAGCGAGGCGGCCAGCGGAGGTTTCCTGGTCAGAGAATGTCTGTGATCTCTACTTTGCGTACCACATCTGGGTGAATCTCTGTTCCCTGAACGCATTTCGTCGTCGCAAAGGACTTGGCACACTGCAGTTACGCGCCATTGCCGGAGGGCGTAGTAGTCAGATGGATGTTCTTGTTTACTCCTACCTTCTGTGTGATAGTGTGGCAAACGGTGTTATTCTTGATCACCAGCCTGTGCTGCAGTATCTCTACGGTATCCAGCGTATCGGCATGGTGATGTCGCCTTTAAGCAACAACGGTCTGGGTCTTCCATACATGCAAAACCCATTTCATATTTTTTTTTGCCGTGGTCTGAACGTGTCACTTGCCACTGATCGACCGTTGCTATTTCATCTTTCTAAAGAACCACTTATTGAGGAATATGGTACGGCGAGTCGATTGTATCAGCTTTCCGGCATTGATATTTGTGAGATTGCGCTTAACTCCGTGATGATATCGTCCTTTCCATATGGCACAAAGGCGGCGTGGCTGGGCGAAGCCTTATTGACGGAAGGACCTAAAGGAAATATCTTTGAGTACAGCAAAGTGCCGACCGCACGCCTGGAATTGCGGCAGGACATGTGGCAGACGGAACTGAATATCATTACCGAGGCGGCAAAGCAAAATTCACGTGTCGATGATACCACCACTGTGGCGCTACAGATGCCTGTTACTGCTGTTATTAATGCTGCGAACTGTTCTACCTCTACTGGGGAATACTCTGCGACGAGTTCTGTGACTACTACCGCAATTGTGCAATCAAATCATGTGCTATTAAATCAGGTGCCTTTTGTCGTGTTGGACCCTAAAATTGAGTATCCGCGGGTGGTGTTTGTTGGACCGCCGGAGCGCGATCCTTCTCACACGGTGGCAACACAATTACTGCACCGCGCATTGGAACTGCGTGCTCAGTACGTTGGCCTGAACCGTCTCGGGGAGGTCCTGGACGGGAAGGATATGTTGAACCCACACGAAATTGAGAATGCGTTCCGCCGTGACGAAGCGTTTGATGAGAACGAATGGATGTTTAAGACGGTCGAGGGGGTTCTTGTGCCACACGAGGTGCACCAAATCCCGCGACTTCCAAAAGATATGTTTCATTACGATGACTTCCGTGTGCATGTACAGGAGCTTCGGCTCATTTTGGAGAACATTCATGTGCGTAACTTCACGACACGGCGGTTAGACCTGCTTGAACACAAATTCATGCTGCACCTCGCGGTAAACCGCAGTCTTGAAGCAGGGACAACGGCAAAAAAAGCTTCACAGAACCGTGACTTTTACCAGGCGACAAAGGTGGACAATAACATCCATGTGGAGACGTGCATGACGGCGCGGCATCTGTTAAACTTTATTGTATCAAAGGCAAACAACAATGGCGATGACATTGTGTCCCATCAGGAGGGGAAGGAGCCGCAGACACTGCGGCAACTTTTGCAGGAGTTGCAGATCTCTCCAAACACACTCACCGTGGATGACCTCAACGTGCAGGTGGACACCACACTTGGGGGTGGCCGGTGCCCAGTACACACCCGAGGGGCGAGACGAGCTGCTGACATTACTT